AATAAAAATAACGTGACTTATATGTAAGTCAAAAATGAAAATAAAGGACAGCACTAGTATACTGCGTATATGTGCAAAGCAAAGATTATTTTAAATTTTGATTCAATGAAAAAATCTAAGAATAAATTGAAATTGCTCGAAAGACAACAGTTAAAGGACAAACGTGACAGAATTTTGAATATCGCGATACAATGAAAAATTGGGAGGAAGACAGAGGAAAATAAAATCATAAAAGAGCAAAAGATAACTTATCTTGACTTTAATGCACAAACGATCAATAGAAGAACATGGGAAATAGACTGAATTAAAAATGTAGGAGAGATAAATAATTTTAAAATCATGAAGTTAAATTCCGAAAACAATAAACTAGTAAAACAAGCCCAGGTATGCTCTGGCATATGAGATAAGTATCCGTTAATCTACAATATTAAAGATATTTTAGAAGTTCCACAGAGTATTTAAAAAAAGTTGCATTTAAAAGCAATTGATTGTACTGCGAAGCTTGTCAGTTATCAAGATGGAAAAACTACCACACTAAGGGATGAGAACACTAGCAGTTAGGCCCCTCCATACTGTCCACACAGACATTATGGGTTAAATTAACTGAGCTTCTCCCTCAGGTAGCTTTCATTATATTATAGCTTTTATGGATGACTTTTAAAAATTTGCACAAGTTTATTTAATTTTCAAGTAAAGCAAAGTAAGTATATGTTTAAAAAATCTCATTACAACAGAGCAAAATTCAGTAGGAAACAATAAAAAAATATGCTTTCTTCTTCTAAGAGAGTTTAAAGAGACGAGTTAAAGAGAGAACATTGAAGGCTGCCATACGCCACCATATACTCCTGAGCTTAACGGAACACCTGAGAGACTTAATAAAACTCTCCAATAAAAAATAAGAGTACTTCTCATAGACTCCAGCTTACTCAAATCTATGTGAGTATTAGCAACAGAGGCAGCGGTTAACGTGTATAATAGGAATCCCCATAAAACCATCGATTTCGACATCTTGCTAAATAAATTAAATCCAAGAGTAAAACACGTCTTAGATAAAAATAAGTGATTAAGGTCCATAGCTTATGCATATTTACCTAAAATAGAATTTAAATTCTCTAAAAGAGCGATGAGGACAATCTCAGTTGGATATTCTAAAACAGGTTATATTTTGTGGAAACCCTAACAAATGAGTTTTTAACCTAAAAAAACATTACGTTTAATGAAAAATAAATTTACAGAGATAGGTACAACATAAATAATAAAAATAATGATACTAGCTTAAAACTAAAAGTAAATGAAAGAGATTTAAAACAAAATAAGCAAGAATTACAAGAGATTTTTTTCTAAAAAAAAAAACTTCAAAAGACTAGCGATCTTCAAACTTACCTTGAAAAAGTACTAGAAGAACTAAGATCTAAAAAAAAAAAAATCAAGAGAAGAGAAAAACCAATCAGAATCTGAAAATATAAGAATCAAAACATCCACGAGACCACACAAACCAAGAAGACACGATAAATTTGCTTATACTGCAGAGATAAATAACAATGAGACCGCCAAAGTCAATCCTGAGGATCATATAATACTTGCTTAAGTAGACAAAGATCCAAGTAGTTATACAGAGCTTTTGAGAAAAAGAAATACGAAAAGATTAACTGTCCTTAGAGAAGAATGAAGTTTTCGAGGAGGTGGATAGACCATGTGACGCTAACGTACAAGATTCCAATTAAACATTTTCTAAAAAAGTGTCGAAAAAGGAAAAAGTTTTCTTACAAAGCTAGACTTGTAATAAGACGATACCAAGATGTTAACGAATATGAGATTGGAGTTTGGTTTTTACAATTGAGGATATTGCAGATATTATGACCAAACTTTTACCGGAACCCTTTCTATATGAAGTTAAGAGATAAGCTTTGGAATAAACAAAGAGAAGACGGTTAGTCAAGAAAAAGCAGAAAAGAGCCTAAATTTATAATATGTTTGTTCTTTGTATTATTTTGTTCACAGACACCAATACTGATGAGAGAGTAAATGATGTAAAAGCACAGCACTAAAAAAGACAAGGATTAATTAAAAGTCGAAGAAACTCCGTGGTTGTCAAGAAACTGTGTCTATATGTTTTAAAGGTTAACTACATTTTCTGTTTATTATTAATTTTTTTTCAACGTGAGCGTATTCATTCAAATTTTTAAAGTTTCCTATAAAGCTAGAGCGTAAAATATTTTTTCAATAAAAAATTTATAAGCTTCGTTTGTGAGTACATTAAAGGAGACGAGGTATTGCAAATAAGGCTTTAAGTGCACTTACGGCCACCACGTTAAGAGAGAGTGTCGGACGAACGCATGGACTGACGTAGAAAGAGCACAACTCTAAGTCAAATAATGTTTGCTACACTGTGCAAGAGAGTCTCTTTAAGTGCTAGTAAGATATGTATGTACAAGGTTTGATTTTTTAAATAAAGTAAAGGTACAATCTGGTTTTGTTCCTATTAATTTACCAAGTTCACCACTGCTTTCTTTTCCCGCACGATTTATATCTTATACGCCTATGTCAGGTGGCGCTGTTGAGTGAGAGAAATTGCTTCTCGCTGAGATTACCAGAATGTATGGAGCCTTATACAAATTGTTTATAATGATTAAGAAAAAAGTTATTAAGATAGTCGACTAAGTAAAACAGTCACTTAACTTCATATTATTTTATTGCACAGTAATAAATTGAGTTTTATGTTGATATGTGTACCACAAAATTTCAAAAAATACCAACATGGGTTACGACTCTAATAACACACATGCATCAGTGGATATATATGCTTGCACTTGGGCGAAACTTGAGAAACACAAGTATTGCTTGTATTTATCCGTTTGTCATAACACACTGTTTAATAAACAATCATACTTATAACGGTTAAGGTCAATTTTTACACATTTATATTAAACTTTTGTGTATAACTTGTGTCCTTCAAACCTTACACAAGCGAAAGCATATACATGTACTTGTCCATAATGGGTTGTAACTCTTGCAATGCATGTTTTTATTTTTTAAATCTTAAATTATACATGGCTTTTTCAAACAAAATTTATTACTGTACACTTACATAACATACACATAAATCACTAATTTATTTGGTTAATTTATTCCAAACAATATTTTTTTTATTCATCAAAAATTTTTGTATAAGGCTCCGTGTACTGTGGTAATCTCAGCAAGGGACAATTTTTCCCACTCGATAGCGCCACCTGACATAGATGCATAGCTAATATGATAGATTGTTATAGTGCTTGAGTGTAACCCAGTATGTAAGCACTTAAAATAGTGATGATAATAGCAACAATGATTATAATAATAATAATAATAATTTGAATGATATAAGTAATAAAAGAAATAATAAAATGAATTCTGATAATTTTAATAAGATTTATAATAAAAAAATGATAACAACTTTAATAATAATAACAATAATACAATAAATACTAATGATACTAAAGATAGTAATTATACTTATAATAATACTTATAATGATTGTGCTCATATACTGGGCTAGTTCTCACAGAAGTATACGAGTATGCTAGTTTGCTTTAAACAGTACAAGCTTGGACATGCCAGCTAAACGACATGTTAGGACAGCTTATTAGTAATACTGACATATTTTTTGTATCATTACTGTTGCTACTCGTATTATTTTTAATGTAAGTATGCAGGCTGTTATTTCCGTATATCAGTGTATGCTAAAACAAGCTGGGGATCCTAGACAGGCTGTAGCAAGTAATTTGATGCCATATCTACAATAAACGTATGTGAATATTTAGGGCTAATGCTAGATCCGTATCTTCTCTCAAGCGCTTAGCGTCAAGTTATGTACACACTTACACTGTAGCGTATAAGCTTTCAGCATGTGACAGTAATGCGAGTGTATGTTAGAGTACGTTAAATAATTCTGTTGGCTTTCAGCATACGTTAGCATCGATGTAGAGCTAATGAAGCCCTCTCATTGCTTCTAACCGTTCTGAGCTTACTACGTTACGAATTTATGGAACGACTTCAGACTCTCAAGTGACACGATCTTTTGTGATTAACTAAAGACGAAATTCGACATTGCTACCCCCATTACAAGCACTTAAAGCTCTTTTGTTACTCCAGCACTAATCTGTGTACAATGTTATACGTTTTATGAGTTTGTTATGTAGTAAGCACAGACCTTCTCTAACCATTTTAAGAGTTCTATTAGCTTTATGTAGCGTAACACGTACGGTACATCAAATATTTTTACGGTACGATTAGAGGGTCAGGCCCCTGCATGGCTATACTTTAGTGTCTTTGTGTGACAACTCACCCGCAACTTAAACATGAAATACGGTATCGTAAAATAAGTGAAATAAGAAGTACTTTGTTAGGGGCTATATTTTTTAACTTTTACGTTCTGTACAACGCTACACCACAACTTGACACCATGTTGCAACGCATAAGGCATAGTAAAGTACCGTCAGCAAGAAGTGCGGAGTATATGGTGAAAGTTACGAAATACCACCCCTCAAAGTGACACTGATACACATAAAAACCCTAACGTTTTGTCACAGCAAGGGAGCCAAGGGCACGTTCCTATAACCCTCTCACACAGCCTAAACGTGAGATGAGGTATTGTTAAGTATAACAAAGTTGTCGGTAAGTTGTTAGACAGAGTTACTGGAACACGTGCTGAAACAAATAGTATGAGTGTATGACAGCACTACTCACAGCAACCAAACACATCCAAATATACCACCCTTACCCTATTGTATACTCGCATTGCTCAAGTACTATTGAAAAGAGGAAAACTAGAAGTTTAAGTTACCCTGGAAACCTCTCCACTATAAGGGCACTGTTAGGCCAAATTAAAAGTTGCAAGCTATATCTTTTATTTTATGCTACAAAACATTTTCATGTTTTGTATTTCTTATTAACTTAAAACCTTATCAGTTTTAATCAAGTACAAGTTAACATTGTTTGACGTTTACAATTATTATTTTCAGAGAGCCCTTGTTACTGCTACTAAGACTCGAAAAAAGCAGCAAACCGAATCAATTAAAAGAGCTTTGCAAGAACAAAATGACAGAAAACGGCAAGAAAGAGCTAATTTTTTAATAAGCACTATTCCAATCAACTTCCAAGCAGCTTACGAACCAAATCCACTTTGTGATGATCACGATGAAGGTACAAGCTTTTTTTGAACTTATTTTCAGATGTCAATAAAAACCAAACCTTATAGTATTGCCCTTTGTAGGAATTACTGATGAAGATAGTGGAGATCTAATTCCAAGAAACTTAGTTCATCATGGACAGTCAGTCCTATCTTTATTTCCATCAACATTATGCTCTACTGCTCTTCCATTAATAGGCCTTCTTGATGATTCATCTGTTTCTAAGGACGGCATTGCAGTATACGAAATAGCATATCAAGTATAGTTATAACAATAATTAAATTTTATTTTATTTAACAATTTTAAGTTAACTTCAAATTTTTTTTAACTACACAGTTTTTTATTTTTATGACGATTGTTGATTTTATCGAAGGTAATTTGGAATTGCTTGGTGGAAGACAGTGCTCTGTTTTTACGTCATGTATTGGAGCGATTGACACGACAGGATCAAGATCTGATTTTTCAGAGCTTACGACACCTTATTCGATTTGTTCCCAAGCTCCCTCAACAAGCTGCTTTTGCCTTATACAACTATATAATAGGATATATAATGTTTTATGTTCGAACTCCACATGAGGAAGGTCAAAAGCTTATCGGTACAGCTCTATCAATTCTTTGGATGGTATGCTTCAATTATATTAATAGCAGAGAAAAAAAAAACTTTTTTTAAGCAAGCTAGTTTACGGTGTTATCAAAAAATGACATTTAAAATGATTTTGAATCAATTCTGTTTAATGATCTTAGGTCGTACATAGCGTTCATGGAATAATGTTTAAGGATTTAAAACAAATCTTGAGAAAAGAGCAGTGTGATGCTTCTATACTTTTGACAGCAAACGTTCCATCGGCTAAAAAAATAATTGTTCATGGACCTCAAGATCCTGATGCTGGTGGTATACCATCTCAATTTCCTGTACAGGAAGATACACAATTTTATCATATTCTTAAAGAGTCTCTTGATTTTTTTGGAATTGAAGAAGAAAAACAAAAACAGTACTTTTTAACTGACTATAGAACACGTAAGTATTTTTTCATTAAAGAAACAAAGATCTATATTTCTAGTTGTTTATACTTTTTTAGGTCAAATACATAATTCTTGCTCATACGTTCGGGACTACTATTTTTTTAAGAGATCTCAATATCCGCAACTAGAACTAATACACATGCAATCAAAAGAGGCTTTTAATGCTTTACAACAGCAAGAATTACAGAAAAAATTTGTAGAAATTGGCAAAGTTTTATTAACATGGGCAATTTTGAAAAATGTAGATATGGTTGTTCAACGAGTTGTTTTCTTACATGAAGAACTTATGAAATTACCTTCGTTTCCTCGCAAAGCCTTGGAAGCAGATCTTGACTTATGTAAAGGTGGTGAAGTAGGAAAGGTAAGTTGAAGCTGTTGCTGTGGTATTATAAAAACTTCTTGTAAAGATTTTTTTTCATAATTTTAATCTATAACTAATACTTATACCTATATGCTCCACAATTTATTGTTTAAAGTTTTGTATTACGGTGCATAATAATGTTAAAATTTAAAGATAATGATACTACATAGCAACATTCAATAAGAATTTCTTATTTTAGAAGAAATCATGCCTTCTTCAAACATTTTCCACCTCATAATACTATAATTATTAGAAAAATCAAGAGTTAAAAATGAGAGCAGGCAAAACTTATTATTAATTTAATTGAGTTAACTGTTTATAACTAAAATTGTTTTAAAAAACAAGTTCATAAAGAAATATCTATTTTTTTTTAGGAAAAAAATATTGATATCTGTGCCACATAAACAAGCGTTAGTATGGTTATAAAATAAAAGATAAAAATAAATAATGACAACTTTCACAAACAATTTTTTACAAGGCTTCTGGTGAATCTCTTGATAAACATTGTACTAACAGTTTTGTTTGGGACAAGAATAATCCAGCTTCTTTATCTTTTTTTCTCCGTTAACCGTTATTCGTGAAATTCATCGAAACTTTATTCCACTTAGTTCTTGTGTAGTATATACCTAGTTTAAGTTCTTTGTAGTATACTTTAAGGAGTGCAGTCACGAAATATGTTAATTTAAGAAGACTACACATGGCACTGTGCTATTATGTACGTCAACGTTAATTACCAAGATTTCTAAAATTTGAGAAAAAATATTGAACATTAGCGTTACTTCAATTTTTTGCAATCGTCAGGCGATTTTAGCATTAAGCTACGACCGTAAACAAAAGTAACGACAAAAAATTTGTTTATGTCATTGTTAAAAGATGCCTAGACGTGATAAACTGATTTTTAAAATCTCCCGATGTTTGGTGACCATTGGTTAACACTTGATTCTGAAGTTAGCTGCATATGTCTAAGTGTAATAGCAGACACAACACCACAAAAAAAGAAAAAAAATATAGACCCCAATCAGCTATCGGCATTCAAACTCGACGCACTATTGTTTGCTTCATATGTATGCATATTTTCGGGTGCGTAGTGTTGACTGCGTGCAACCAGGGCCTAATTCTCTAAGGATGTTGGTGGACGAGATTATCTACACATGCTAACACAGCAGCAACAAATGCTTTGTGCGCATGCACACTACAATTTTTTCCTACATAATACAAGTTATCTACAATCTGTACCTTAGAAAAAAGGTTCTTTTTATATTGCTAATGTCAGTACCTATACAATAAATATATTGTAAGCTTCAATATCAGATTTTATACTAAGTCATTGCCGTGCTTTATATTCATATTTTCTTTACATTCATTGGTAATAACACTGCCTACTGGAGTTACTAATTAATATACCACTAATAATTTATCAACTGTTTTAATTGAACTTTTTTTATAACTTGTTTTAGTTTAAAATAGAACGTTTCATAATTATTCTGAAAATATTGTGTGATGAACTTAACAAAAGAGCTGAATATACAAATTTATGTTACAGTTTATTATAAAAATCAGTAAACACAAGTTTTCTTTAAATAAGATGTTAAATAGTAAAAATTTTGAAGTACTTCGTTTTGTATTTACTAAATGACTTGTGATAACAAATACATTGTTGTAGTAAGTTAAAAGAATATTTAAAATTTATTAGGTCACACAAAACAATAACGAAATCAGTAAAATGTTCTGTTATTGCCTGGTAAGTTCCTGATAAAATATTTTAACGACTAGCTTAAAACTTTATGCTTCAAAAGTCTATCAACTTAATAGAATTGAACATTTTACCAAATATACAAATTTCTTATTATTCCAAAACGGTGTAATAAGTTAACTTGAAAATTAATTCTTTGCTTCTGAGTCCTAACATTGGGGCCTTTACTTCACATTGTTAACATGGCTTCCAAATAGTCATAAATTTGATCATCTAAACTTTTTAGTTCCTTCGTTGGAATATTCTAAAACGTAAAAGCTATGCAAAAATTAATTTTGCTGTATCCAATTAACAGCCTAACATACAAATTATTGCTCTTTTTCTAAAACTAAAAAAAAGGCTAGAGCTAATATCAGTGGTTTTCATAAAAAGAAGTTAAGTTTGCGTAAGATAAAAAATAAAAATAACGATGTAATAAAAATTGTTTGTACGTTGAATTCAAAAAATATTTTTGTCAGTAATAATGAAAATCTAACTTTACTTAATATTTGCAATGTAAAATAACCACCAAATGTAACTGATTTTTTGTTTATTATACTCAAAGGAAAACGATAAAACTCATTCACTAAAGCTTTTGCTTGAAGAATTAATATTATATTTGATAAATACAAAAATACCGTCGTAAAAAATCTTGAAAGCTCATGCAGAGCAAAAAATGTTAAATCGTATGACTTTGCAGGTGTCTAAGGTAAGATGCAGTAACTGTATACATACTTTTGATATATTTATGCATATTGATTAACATAGGACGGGAACATATGTATATATATATATATATATAAAATTAATGTTTTGAATATGAAGGTCTAAAATTGTATAAAATATACAGCTTTTAAATTAGTCACATATTAGAAGCAAAGACAACAATATTTAGCCATGCAATCTATGACTGAAAAATGATTTCGGACGTTTATGTTAACAGGTCTAGTACTAATTTATTTGTTTCAGCTATTTATTATTAAAACAATTTATATTGGTACTAGAATTTCTTAAAGTTTTAGAAAAAGAGCAATGATTCGTGTATTTAACTTTTAATTAGATACAATAAAACACAATTTTTCATAGCTTCTTCGTTTTAGAAAATTCCAACTAAATCACCAAAAAGTTTTGATGATCAAATCCGTGACAAGAATTACTGATTTAGAACCAAAGAAACAATTTTTGAGCTGGCACATTACACCGTTATAGAATAACAAGAAATTCGTATATTTGGTAGAATTTTAAATTCTTTTAAGTCAACAGACTTTTGAAGCAAAAAATTTTAAGCTACTACTATGAAACGTTCTATTTCAAACTAAAATAAATACAACAATAATTTTTAATTAAAATAGTTGACAAATAACTCGTAATACATTAACTAGTGACTCCAGTAGACGGTGTTATCAATAATAAATATACAGAATGTAATAAAATAAGACGTGTCAACAACTTTGTATAAAATTTAGTATTAAAACATACAGCATTTTAATTGTATAAGTAAAGACATTAGCAATATTTAAAAAAGAACCTTTCTTCTGAGGTACAGATTGTGGATAACTGGTATTATGTAGGACAAAATTGCAGTGTGCATGCACACAAAATATTCGTTGCTGCTGTGTTAGCATGTGTAGATAATTTTGCTTATCAACATCCTTAGAGAATTAGGCCCCAGTTGTACGCAGTGAACACTACGCACTTGAAAATATGCATACATATAAAGCAAACAATAGTTTGAATGCCGATAGCTGATTGTGGTCTCTGTCTCTTTCTTTTTTTTGCGGTATTGTGTCTGCTATCATACTGAGTCATATGCAGCTTACTTCAGGGTCAAGTTTTAACCAATGGTGACTAAACATTAGGAGGTTTTAAAAATCATTTTATCACGTCTACGTATTGTCTAACAACGATATTAAAAAATTTTTTTTTTTCAGGACTTTTGCTTACAGTTATAGCTTAATGCTAAAAAGGCCTGATAATTGCAAAAAATCAAAGTTACGCTAATGTCTTATATTTTTTCATTTGCTTATGAAACTTTTTAAATCAGTCTTATGATTTATACATTCTGTTTTTATTAACGGCTTATTTATACGAGACAATATGATTACACCAATCGATTTTCATTGCTTCTCATACTTTGACGAAGCTTTTATATTTGTAATTAGGAAAATTTTTAAAGTTATAGAAAATTGTGATAGTCTTAGTAAAGCTCCGAGACGTAAGAGATACATTAATATACAGCAACGCTTAAAATGCTTTGGTTTGTTTGAAAGTACCGACATAAACGCTCTCCCACATATTTGATCCCTTTTTTCTTATATCAGAAAACCAACTTGTGAATCCACTTAAAGATTTAACATGCTTATCTTGTACAGTTTAATTGTACCAAAATAAACTTAAGTATTTCTACGGACCGTTTTTTTACAACTGCAATTTTACTTGATTCTTTTATATAATTAGATGTTCAGTTAATATTTTCTTAAACATATAAAAAACAGTACACTTTATTCTATTTAGATTTATTCTGACGCATAAATTGTTGTAATGTTAATATTATATTCCATGTGAAATATTTTAATTATCTGTTTTATATCGCTTAAGAGACATTTGTTACGAAAAGTAGTTTCTAATCAATTGCTAGCCCTTATAAATGGGTAATTTTTTTACAAACCAAAAATCTTTCCGACTGAGCCCTTTTTTTATTTTCCTGAAATTTAATTTACTTGTTTTATATTACAAAAAAAAAGTATGTATACGAAGGTTTTCCATTTTTTTTCCTTTTTTTCTTTTTTTCTTTTTTTTTTTTTTTTTTTAGAGGGTGTCAAAAATTCGATATTTTCGTGGTTTTCGGCTCTAAAACTTATTTCCAAGAGATTATAAACTCCAGTTCTATTCACGCTTAAATAAGTTTTTTTTTTTTAATTAAATGTAAAAGAGTGAATTAGAAGAAAAATGTTTTGAGAAAATTTATAAGATATTTTTAATTGTTATAAACTACTGAGAGGTTGAAATTTATTATTAACGATTTTCCCAAATGATAGCACGTTGTAAGTATGACCATTTTAATCTACGTCAAATTTTACAGTGAAAATGCTTTTTTAATCGATAGAGAAATGATTTTTACTATTAGAAAATAACTAAATAAACTATTGCGATTTGTGAAATTGGTAAGTCCTGTGCAAGGTACGCTTCATTTTTATCTCTTTATACCATTTTTTTTTTTTTTTGTACTATCTATCAGTAATTTATACACATAATGAATTTCATGTTA